AGACCGAGGTCAGGGGGTGGCTGCTGGCACGTTTATTCCGCAGAGCTGAGCATGCGCTCACGTCTGGTAGGGTCAAGATTTAACGGGAAGAATAGTAATCAATTTAAAGTAACTTTGAACTGGTAATTTCTGCGCAGTCCATTTAGATTTGCAGAGGCGGAATTGTTACATGATTATCATACTATCACAGGATGATTTGGGTTGGAAGGGACCTAAAAGACTATTACCTAGTTCCGACCCCCGTGCCACAGGCAGGGACACCTTCCACTAGACCAGGTTTCTCAAAGCCCCATCCAACCTGGCCTTGAACACTGCCAGGGATGGGGCAACCACAGCTTCTCTGGGCAACCTGTGCCAGTGCCTCACCACCCTCACAGGGAAGAATGTCTTCCTTATATCTAATCTAAATCTCCCCTCAGTTTAAAGCCATTCCCCCTTGTGCCCACATGTGCCCTTCTAAAAGGTCCCTCTCCAGATTTCTTGTAGGCCCCTTTTAGTCACTGGAAGCTGCTCTGCGGTCTCCCTGAAGCCTTCTCCAGGCTGAACATGCCCAGCTCAGCCTGTCTCCACAGGAGAGGTGCTCCAGCCCTCTGAGCATCTTTGTGGCCTCCTCTGGACCTGCTCAAGCAGGTCCACATCCATCTTGTGTTGGGGACCCCCAATCTGGACACAGTACTGCAGTGGGGTCTCAAGAGAGCAGAGCAGATGGGGAGAGTCACCTCCCTTGACCTGCTGGTCACGTTTCTTTTGAATCAGTCCAGGATATTGTTGGCTTTCTGTTGTGAGCATGCATTATTTATTCTCTGGGTTTTTCCCTTTTTTTTCCCCCCCCTGCAGGTTGGGAATGGGTTAAATGGGATGAATTTCCTCCAGCAGATCAGCTGTTCTGGGCCTTACGCTGTTTAAGAGAGCAAGGTTACAATCCCTTTACGGAAGAGCTCGATCATCTGAAGGGGTACACAGGAAGTCACCAGCTGGGGTAAAAAATAATGGCACATGATGTAACAAGCTAAATGAAAAACCTGCTTTTTGGTGTAAAAGAGAAAACGATGCTCACTCTGCCCATGTGAAAACACATCCCTTCCCAAAGCCAAAAAGATGATGGATGTTTCAGTGCTTTGACCGTATTTCATGCAAGTTGTCTCTCATTCCACAGCTATTTCTAGCTGTTGTGGTTGACAATTAATGTTTTCTTTTATATAAATCTCAGAGTGTTTTATTTGGTTAATCTTTATATGGATGAGCAGCAGAAGTCAGAGAAAGGTACTCCCTTGGTAACAGTTGCAGTATCAGGCTCAAGAGGTACTTGTTTAAAAGTGTCCTGCTTTCTATGTAAAAATTGTCTATCATGCTGCTTTCCTTATAATTGTAAATATATAAATAAATAATTATAACTCTTGGACCAATTTTTAAACTTAGCCTTGTCTTGTAGCTTCAATTAAGATACCGTCATGAACAAAAGTCACATCCCACAGACAATGCCTCATTCTGCAGACAGCAGTATATGCTTGAAACTCAGAGTATTATGAACATGAAAAGGATTGTTATGTTAATGACAAAAGGCTTGTTGCTGGCAGTAAAGATTCCCCAATCCTTCCTGCCACCCCGTCTCCTTACAAAGTTCTGTTTGCAGCCCTGGTTACATTAGAATGAATCTGCAGAAGTGTTCCAGATCTCTACAGCTGATCTTAATTCCTGGTCATGTTACTAAACTCCTAATAGTTCAATGGAAAGGTGCCTAAAGTGTTCTGCTAGGATGACCCAAATAACATTGCACTAACTAATCTTGACTGATAGGTGTAGCTCTACAGTAGACAGCCATACTTTGGGGCTAAAGAGGGTTGCAGGTGCTAAAAGCACAGATGGGTGTAATTCTGTATGGCCGCTGGATTTGGTAGATGTGATGAAGTGATTGAACTGGTAGGAAGTGAAATCCTGGTACAAAAACACAGTACACACACAAAAAATTGTACAAAACCAATGGGTTTGTATTTTTTCGTTCTTCTAGGATCTGTAACCAGATTTTATTCTTCTCCAGCTGTAGTTCATTAGAACATCAGCAATTAATTTTAGGATATGACTTTTTAAAAAAATCACCAATTGCCTCATTTTTTTTCTCTTCAGGATTCTTTTAAAACACAGGGTTTGTGTTTCCTTCCAATATACCCATTGTACAAAATGTTCTAAGGTATCTTTAATTTCTTTTGAATAATTTCTTTTGAATAAAACATAAGCACAATATTGAAAGACTAAAATTGTTAGAATTATGAATTGACTTGTCAGTTAAAATAAATGAGCTTAAATGGTTTAGAGCTTGGAGATGTCTCTTTTTGCTGAGAAGCAGACAGAGAGATACGAGGTGTAAGGATGCTATTTAATTATTGCAAGCCTCCTGCTTAGAATGTGAAGTATTAACTACATGCTACTCAGGACAGATATTCTTTCTCTGAAGTGAATAAAGATAAATGTTATAAAGCAGTTTTGAAATGGGAAATATCACTGAAAATTCCTTTGCTACTGTATCTTTGTAGAAAGCTCATTTTTTTCTATTCAAAAGTGGAGGTTTTCTTCTTGAAAGCAACTTTATGTACACTGAAAATTATTCCGTTCAGCTGTCAACAAAGAGGCTGGAGGAAGAGTTGACAGATGTCCTGCCCATCTGTCTCAAAGAATAAAGGGAAAAAAAAAAGATATTACAATTATTTAGTATGATTTACTGCAATTTTAAATTTTAGAAGGCATCTAGCTCCTGATGGAAAACAGGAGTCACTGTAGAATGGTCTGTCATGCAATAAATATCTTGTTACCATTAATGGTGATATTCATTCTATCTGTTGTAAATATACAAGCAGTTACTGAAGTGAGGACACAAACAGTATCACCATATGTCAGGGTTTCTGTATCCTTTCTAAGTGGACTGATGAAAGGATTACAGTGCACTACTGCAATCAGCTGTCAGCAACCACTAACTTAAATAACTTGGGTTTTATGTATCATGCATTTGTACTTTTTTCCCCCCAGAAAGTTTGATTTTTAGTAGTTTTTAGCTACTAAGGCTCACTCCTTTCAACTGAATGTTATGTTTACTTTGATTTTTGGTACTTTTCCTATTTAGCAAAAGCTACAGGGTACACATTTAAGCCACTGAATAACAGAACACTCAAAACTTTATGGTTTGCTTAAGTTATTGTAATAGACAGAATCCACCTAAAATGGCATTATAGTTGCCCAGTATTGAGAAAAATACTCCTGAACAGCATATGGTTTGGAGCACTGATCTAAAGAAACTCATTAGGATGCATCTTACACCCAGAGTCTGATTTTATGCTAAGCGAACAGTGGGCAGAACTGTTGATTTACCCATTTCTTACATGTAACACACTGGTCCCATTTGGTCCCTTTTAATACTTCAACAGACTAGCAAACAACGCAGGGGTAAAAAAAAAAAAGCGTTCATTGTTTCTTCTCACTCTTGTATCTGGAAACAATCATCATCCACCTCCACATGAGAAAGCCATGTAAGAGTTTTGGGTAGATGGTACATTACACTTCCCATTACTATGAATTATCTCTGTGTTTCATGCCAAGAAAAGTATCTTCCTACAAATGAGAAGATGGAAGAGACTGGTGAGCTGTGGCTATGTCATAGAATGTGTTGCGAAAGGGGCATTTAGGAAAGAAAATACTAATGCCATGGTACAAAGCATTGAGAAGCTGCATTTTGCAATATTGTGTATGATTCTGATCACATATGTTTAAGAAAAAATAATGTGAACTTGAACAGGGATAGGCAAGATTAACTAGAATGAATGACATGGGGCAGGTGTATTTGAGCATGAATTAAAGAGGAAATACAGCCTTCTACGAAGACATTGGGGATAAACTACAAAGAGGAAAATGGGATACTGAACAAAAGTTAAAATATACATTTATATGAGTGATTTCAGACTGCAGAATAGAGGTGAAATTTTAATAACTCTGAAAATACTTCCAAAAGGAACAGCTGAAACAAAATCAAACTCCCAATTTCTCTTAAAACAAAAAGCACTGCCCCATAGTACGCAACCGAACCTGACTGAAGTCCCTTTCATTTCTACATCCTTATGGGATTTGTATGTATGTTGGTCGTATGTAGCAGCATTACTGACAGCAATATTTGAAAGATTCTCTGAGCAAATGAGGAAGTACATGATTTATCCGATACTTCCTGTGAAGAATCTACAAAATGGCAGAGTGGAGAAGATTTGTGATCTGTCCTTCAGGAAGCCTCGCTGCAGGGCAGAAACCTGTAGCTGCCATGAGCAACAGTTCACATTAGTTTCTGGTCTGATATGGGGTTTACTTAAGAGAAAAGCAGCCATCCTAAAATGACTGCTTGAGCAAAACAGACCAAGGAAAGCAAAGCCAAGTGCCTTTGGAAAGATGAAAGAACATTGTAGCTGAGGCAGGAAATGCAACTGCAGAAGTAAACAAATCAGCAGGTTCAAAGACCTGAAAACATTATAGACAAGAATAAAGAATCTATGAGCACTTTGAATTGGAAGGAGCTGAACCTGCAGTGTGCCCCAAAGTATGTCATCTCCAGGCCCAGGATGCTTAACCAGAAGCCTTGCAAATGGATAGGCACTCTACATGGCTGGCTCAGGGTCTGCCAGGTTACATGTATCTGGCAAAGCTCAGCTGAAAAGGACAGGCTCTCAGTTCCTGACTCCTCAGCTGCTTCTAATACCGACTTGGCATTTTGCAAAGGGGAAAATGGAGTACAAGCTTCTGAAACTCAGAATTCAACCGCATACTGGAATAAAATGTGCTGAGTACTGAATTTACACAATTAACTCATTTAAGTTTGCAAAAAGAAATGTAAAGTTAACATCAAAGCCCAGTTTATTTATGACAAATCGTTTATTATATATTCCAATAATTACAAACTTCTTTACACCTTATTCCCATGTTTTTGTTATCAGCTGCTCAAAAACATGGATTTAGGCAGTGACAAAAAAAGATATTAAAATTACAAATGTCATGTCTCATTTCTGTGCCGTAGAAAAGGCTATCATCAAAAGAGTAAAGTTACTAACAAACATAGAAGGGGATTCCCCTTACACCTTTTTTCCCAGGAACTTTCATCATCTAATGTAGTAAATATACACCATGTCTCTTACAAACATACACATTCACAGATTTGCATAATCGCTGGAAATGTGACATCTCTCCTCCAGCAGAAAGCTCCCAGTCATTGAACATCTAATGCAAAAAAAATACTCTAAAGTCCATGGTTTATAAATTAGTCACCCTATTTCTGAGCCAGCTGTTATCTTCTCCCTACATAGGGCCACCAGTGTAACAAAAGGGTATTTTGGCTTGTGATGAACAGCACCCAACCTACCTTCACCACAGGAAAGGTCTACTAGGGATACTGTCCCTCTTGTACCTAGTCTGAGTCACTACTGCTGCTTGAGGAGTCTGTTGACATAACTTCTACATCATCTTCGTTCTCTTTATTGTGTCCTGGAGGCTCCAACATGAAGTCATTACTATGATTAGGAGGTAGCATGTTCATTGACATATCACTTGACTGCCAAGGATACTGAGGAGCCAGCACATCTAGAAAAAAGGGGCATTATGAAACAATCAGCTTTGTATATCAACAAACTCAACAGGACCGCTCAGCCAGAACTCCAGTTTAAAATTAATCTTAAAATCCTTCCTGAATTTTGGACAGCTGAAACGCTCCATCACTGTAAAAGCCTACACTGCCTGAGAGGCCCATTTATGTAGATGGCTCTTGATCTCTCTCATCACTCCTCTTCAAAACAGTATATACGCATACAGAGCTTTTCACCTTCAAAGCACAGTTTGAACTGACTTAACATTCCAACCACTGGCAGTAATGAAAATGGTCACCCTCTGTCAGTATGCAAAAAGAGATGAAAACATTAGATTAAAAAAACCCTAAAACCTTGAGGTAGACTATAGAAATTCAAAGTAAAAGGTCTTATCCAAATTTCACTGAAAATACCTTGGGTATTATTTTTCCAACAGCAAATATGGTGCACCAAGAGCAAAGGAGATGACTGTCTTACTACAAAACCAGGGCCACAGAGATATTTGAGAGGTGGGAGTGCCCCACTGTGCTCCAGCTAGGCCAGCTTCAGCTGCCTCTGACTTCTCTCCCCTCTGGCTGTTTCTTCTCTTTTAAACTTCCAAAGCCATCCCACACTGTACTCCCAAGCAGCCTACCCTCCTCCCACACTTCCTAGTCTCTCCCTTCCTTGCACCCCAAATAGTTCCCATTTCAAAGCTGCAGTACACACCTATATGCCATTTCTGCTCCCTTCCTTTTAATTTATGCTCCTACTGCTGTGCTTCAGTTCTTCTCCACTTACTACCAGGCACCACAGCTAAGACTATCCTGTAGAAGAAATGAGCTATCTCCCACTTACAGAAAGAATTACCAATAGGTAGAGTCAGAAGTGAACAAAAGCCCATGCACATGACACTTCGAGTACAGAAAAAGAGTGCACTGTCTAAGCAGGGAGTCTCTAAGAATACCTCTTTATGGGAAACGTATGCTCACTCAGGTACTGTCTTAACTTAGAAGCACACAGTCTCCACACACGTAGTAGCTTCTGATCTTTTAAGTTCTCCACATATGAACTACAGCCACAGTCCCCTAATACTAGATGCCTTACCTGGCTGTACAGATATGACCTACCAGCAGATGTGAGGGCAGAATGCTGCCTTTGTGCCAGTTCTGAGCCAGCTTTAGGAAGGCCAACAACAGTACCAGGTGGTCTTGTTCCAGCTGTGGTGAAGTTAACCAACTTTATTTGAACCAGCTGAGAACATAAGCCAGTGCCCTGTGGCCGTACTTCAATGCTGGAACCACCCCATTATTAAACCAGGCTGAATGTGTGTGCTAAGCAGCCTCCAAGTTTTGAGGCTACCAAGCAGCCCAGTAGCTGGCTTACAGGCTCACTAAGGACTCAGTAATCAGGTATCTCGCTGCAAAAGTCACCGAACGGGCTAAATCCCATATGAGCATTCTCAGGACACGTTTCCACACACCGACAGACTCAGGATCCCTACAGAAAATGTAAGGGCAGCCTCTTTCTTTCAAATGAAGTTTTGATGTTTCCCTTTTACCTGACAGTCTAGTCATTAAGAGGATTTCCCCTGACATAGGAGATCCAGATTCAATTAACAACTTTACTTGAGAAGTTTAAATCCCACGTTTTCCAGCTTCTCCAGGAGAAGTCCTGAAGATTGGGCTTTCACTTCTTACAGAGACAGGACTCAAAAGTAAAAGGAGCAAGTCTGTAGCCTCTAAGACAGAGGCACCAGCCAGAATGAGCTCTGCCAAAACTTAAGCAAATAAATGCTCAAACTCCATGAGGAAGATACAACCTTAACATTGACTCTGACCATATTTTGAAAGAACAGAAAAGGTACACGGGCCCATCCTCAGCATTTCCCTGGTGGATTGCTACAGACAGATGTCAGTGTCCCACTCCTATTAGCTCACTGACCCATTTTATCCAAGGCCAGAGGTTTAGAAAGCAAGACGGTGCAGAACTTCAAGGCACTTCCTAGCAGGTGATAATAGGATTAGACAGATGATGAGAAACACTAAATCCAAGTTTACTATCTCTCCAATGGAGACATGATACAGAGGTTTTTAATATATTCAGTGTAATTTTTGAAAACAAGCTTTCCAGACCACCTGAAAGTGGCTTTACAATCAGGTAAGAACTGTTAAAGATCCCCTAGAAACCAAACTAAGAATTGTCCACAGTTTAGTCTAACCATGGTAGACTAACGCTGCACAGGTACAGAACCACTGCAAGAATGAATCTCACTACAGTCAATGGAAGTGCCCATTTCACTAAGCAATTAAGGGACTAAAGCTCAATTAAGGAACTCAAGGTACTACCTCACCAGCTGTCCTTTGCAATGTCTCTTCAATCCAGAACTTCTAAACAAACAGTCTTGCTATATACAGCGTAGACTTAAAGGGAAGTGGGGGATGACAATAAACTTTTCTTCCAAATACAGCTTCACAATCCCATATTTTGTCATCATCTTTCTACTAAGAAAAGATAGCTTCGAAAATGCTGCTTTCTAATATGATGTGATATTTACAGCAATTTAAAATAAGTGATTGAAGGGCAATTAAGTGATTTTTGCTTACACTGACTTAGTTGTAGTGTCTGCAGTATGACTTACCATGAAGTAAAATAAAATATCCAATTTCTAATTGTTACCTTTATTTACTAGATCATCGCTGCTAGAGAACAACACTGGCCATAATTTTCTTTACTTTTACTCTGATTTGCCTTTACTATGAGTGTACAAAGAATAAAGAAAAGTAAACAAAACAGTTTCTCTTACCTGGCAGTCTGCCCGCGGCAAGCGCGTCCCCTGGTAAGTGTCCATTAACTCCATTGGTGGATGGGTTGTTCATCTGACCCAAGAGACCACTCCTCATTTCCAGGTCTGTAGGATATGGCCTACGTGGGTCCCCTTCAAAAAAAAACAAAAACAAAGGAATGTTTTTAAATATTTAGCAATCATCTTGCAGACATTAACCTTTTCTTCAGTGCCTAGTTTCTTGACCAAAAAAAACATACTCTGATTGCTTGGATCAGCAATGAGCATCACATCTGTTTTGTTAAAATCCAAGTCTGTGCCTTTCACTTAGACTTTCATTGTTCACTCAACTTGGCAGAGAAGCACATTAAAAAGCCACAACAAAAAAAAAAACCAAACATGTTTAGAAGATATCTTTGCTCTCCCTGCTACTTCACAGTTAAACAGCAATGGCAGGAATTGGAAAAAAAAAAACACCTCACATTCTCATTTTGGACAAGGAGGATAGTTCTCAAAATTGAAAATGATGAAAGACTTGCTTCTGACTCTACTGATTACTAACATCCTCTGAAAAGAATATTATAAGGGGCAGGAGGGAACACAACTAAGCACATGGAAAAGCCTTCAACATACTTCGTTCTAACTTACAACTGGGGCCAACATTCCAGGGAAAAAAGCAAACAAAGAGCAGAGGAGGGCAGTCAGTTAATGGAATGTGAAGCTTCACAGCCTTTTGAAAATGTACATAATAAAGTCTACAGAACTTTGGATATCCATTTTTTATTGAAAATATAAGCTAGAAGAACTGAAAACAATGTTATTCTAATAAACCCCAGTTTTATCACTGTATAAAAGCATTGTAAGACAAGGTACTGACCACATTTCATTATAAAAAAAATCTGCTGCCATAAACATGATGGTTACCTGGTACCCACGTCAGAGGAGCACACACAGCATTGCTAGCACTGATCCTATGGGCATATTTAATTATTTCTTCAGAGGAAATGGCACCTGGAAGAATGGAAAAGTCACTATATTCTCAAGAGGCTGCATCATTCAATTATTTCAGAATATTGGGCATTAATAGCTAAAAGATTGGGGATGATTCTATGTAATTTTGCCAAACATTAAGAGCGTGCTTCAAATGCAGTGACTACTTAGAGGATTCTTAGGCTGTGCAAGACCAACCTTTACAGTGAACTGATTTTACCGCCACAAGTTTAGCACACTTTTCAATGGCAACAGATCTTTAACGTTGTGAAAAACACAAACCAATCTCTTAAGCAGAGTACTTGACAAGCACAATTTGTAAGAAACCTTTAGCACCTGCTTTATTATGGAATTTTCTGTAGTAAATTTTTTTTTGTTTAATAACTGTACATGTAGCAGCGTACATGTAGCAGCCCTTCTAAATATGTGCATGTATTACAGTAACATAATGAAACTCTTTGATTTTTTTAGATGAAAGAGGTGTAATAAAATGATAAAAGACACTTAAAAAAACAAAACTACCAACCAACCCAAACACTAAGAAAATGCCTCCCAAAAAAAACCCCAAAGAAGTCTGTTTCACTTGGTAAGTGCCGTGTCAGAAATTGTTACAGGTACAAGCCAGGATCACCAGCTAGCCAGCCTTACAAATACAGTGCACGCATACACAAAACATTCTCTCCCTTTCCTCAGCAGACATGCTGAGGCAATTTGGTGCAACACTTAGTTAACCAGACATACTATTATCAGTCCAAGAAGAGTTTTTAGACACTTGAATTCAAGTTCAGTATTAAAGACATGTTTGCCACAAAAAAAATATTAATTCCTGCCTTTATTCTGTTTATGGGCTCATAACGAAATGGAAATTTGTTTACACATAAAAGCACCTGAAATATGTAATAGCAGATTAAAAAAAAAAAATAACACTAACTCAAGCTCACGAGCAACTTTCTTTACAACTGCATTTACGTAATACGTACAGTTATGGATACCCACCTTTTCTTGCTTTTTCAATTGATTTCAGCTTTTCCTTTGCTTGATAAACAGCTGTTGCCTAGTTGTAAAAAAAAAAAAAAGCAACCAAAAAACAAACCTTCAAAGCATCTTTAATTTTCAAACTACACAAAGTCAGCTTCATGAATAAACCCATGCATTTAATTGCATTTTAAGAGAAACTGTTCAGCGAACATTTTCAAAATATACAGAAATAAAGTAGGTTTGGAAGAAAATTAGCATTATAAAACAAAACTGAATACCATGATAACTAAAGAGTATTTGACTACTGAAAAAAAAAAAAGCCAAACCACTAAGCTTTTATGAAGTTTTAAATATTTAAATCTTCTCAAACACACCACTTCCTCCAGAGCTACCTTTTCACGAGTAGATGCTCAAAAGCAAACACATCATTATGAACTTACCAGTATGTGCTCTGCTTCTTTTAGTTGTTTCTGCAGCTGCTGAATATCATTATCCCTCTTTTCTACTACCTTTTCTAAAAGCTGCATTTCATGATGGATTTTCCCCTGATCAACTGCCAACTTCATTAGCTCTTGAAACTCTCCATCTCTCTGAATCAGCAGTTCCAGGATCTATTGAACAAGAGTTTTGTAGAACTTTTAATTTAGCTAGAGTAACAATACACCCTCAATCATGCTGTAAAGAAGAGCCACTGACATTCACAGAGTATTTGTTTGCATGAAAATGAAACAAAATTTCTTCCTCTGTTTGCAGAAGCAGCCTATGAAGCATACATCAAAATGAACAAACAAACAAGCAAACAACGTGAGGACCAATAACGCCTTTGTAGTGGGGCCAAAACCTCATCATCACCATTAGCTATGCTCAACACAGACAAGGACAGAGGGAGAAAGAGGGGGGTGGTGGTGAAACAGAAGCATTGTGCTTACACAAAGAAATACAGTTTAGAAAGTTAGCTTACCTGGCTCTCCTCTCCTGGTTGTGGAAGCTTCTGGTTTCTTGAAATTGCCAAAATTTCAATTAGTTCCCTGAAAGGAAAACTCAAAATTAGTATTTGTGCAATCTTCTAGGTCATTATTTGTAAATCACAAGTCATCCCCAAATTGTCAGTGTACTGGTATCATTACAAAAGTATACATGGACTTGAGTATTTTATAGTACAGTGTTGGCAAGGATTTCTCAACTAAGAGTAATTCTGTGGATAGTCTCATGATTGGAGCACATTTTCTTCTCTATTCTTTGAGCTCATGAAGCACTTGTGCATTTATACTCAAATGTGCTGAATTCCTGCCAAACTATGTAAGACAAACAGAAGCTGAGAGAAGAAACAGCACAATAAGGCACATTCATACCCTACTTACACTGCCTTTGTTTGTAAGAGGGTGTGAAAGTTGTCCTCACCATTTTACTTCTCTACTTTTCCTCTATTCCCCACCCGCCCCCCTCCCCCCAACATAGCAAGTTTCACACTGAGGCTTAGAGCAATTAAGCCTACACTTTCACGCACCTAAAGAGTTTGTTGTGAAACTACTTTTACAACAAGTATTTCTACAATAGTATATGAGTAATACATCAAACACACAAAAATACAAAAAAATAACAAAACTAATAATTTTCGGATGCTAGGTTAGAAGGACTTTTCAAATAAACCTCTTGATCATACTTCCAAGTACCCATTTACTTTGCCACCATTCTGAAAGCCATCAAGAACCTTGGAGGGAACTCACTAAGCAGCAAGACCATAATGCAAAAGGGCATTTCTGTAAATTCACCAAACTTATTTGGCTTCTAATAGCATGAGTAATTGCCCATCTGAGGACACTGTCCTTGGAACAGTATGAGTCTCTGCTTGGCCCAGTGCAAGCAGCTGAGTGGGATGTATGACTCACACACCAGTGGGGCCAGAACCTTAAAATGAAAACAGGTACTTTTTTAAATGTCTGAGAAAGCCCCTCACCGATAAAGCTCTGAGTAGCATCTTGTCTATGTCTCTTGGTCACTCCTGAACACTAAAATGATTTAAAACAACTAGAAAATAAAGAAATTTGTCATTATCACTAAAGCTTTATTCTACCTGACCAACACTGAGCAGTAGCAAATAAAATGTTACAAGTAGATCAGCTACCACCACCAAGGCTGGTGGCATGGAGGGTTGTAATTCTGCCCTGTCTTAGCCAGAAAACACAGACATAGATTCAAAACCATGCAAAGGCTACAGACTGTTGCTTAATGTTTGCCCCTACCACCAAACCAGTATTATGACTGGTAAAGGCCTAGCTCCGCAGTGCTGCAACAGTTTGCTGGTCAACAGGCAGATTCACTAAATGCTTTTGAGGGTTGCTCTGGATTCATTATTGTAGAATAGTCCAAATAGTCCAAACAGTCCCAAGATTACAAAGAATACCAGAAAACAAAACAAAACAAACCCAACAAAATAAAAAGCAATGGGATTTTATTTTTTTCTCCACAAAAACACATGTTCTCCAGCAACCCGTATGTCACAGTAAAACCTAAACCTGAAAATAAAACCTATTAAGAAAACACAAGTGCAACTGCCCAATATATTTTCCCTGTTGTACCAGGGGTAATCACACAGAGTGAGCCAGCCCCATAGGTAGCATTGGTTATTCCATGTGAAAAAGTTTTCCTAAGCTCCTGATCTCTCGAGAGGAGGAAAATGACTAGGAGCCAGTTTAACTGCACTCCACAACATGGTGGCCAGCTTGGGCGGGGGTTATCAGGCCAGCCGCAAAGAGCACGGACGAAGTATCTCAGCATTTCTACCACTCCGAAGACAGGCTCTGCAGCCTGTCTTTGAGTGAGTTTAACACTGACAATGACCAGAACGGCTTGAGTCACGCAACACTATCTACAAATCTCTGATTTGAGCACAATTTTTAGTAACTAATAAACCGCCTAAAATCTAAGGGGGAAGTGGAAGGAGGTGTGTCCGTGCACGCATTTCCCAGGAAATGCAGGTGTCAAGCGAGAAAGCAAGTTACGTGGTAGAATAAGGAAGCTCCCCTGCTCTAAGAATAGGAAATAAAGCACCTCTGGGGCCGAGGCTTTGGAGGAGAGCGCAGGGCTCGACCACCTCCCTCCCCTTCCACAGGAGCCGGCCTGGGGACGGCCCG